TTGAACGTTTGGGCGATATTGTAGATGTTTTCAACAGCTATGACCCCTACATCCAATTCACCATAGAAAAAGAAGATGATAATCAATCTGTTCCTTTCCTGGACTGAAAAATCATCCGAAATTACAATATCTCAATGGCAGACTGCTACGTGAATCCTATGGCATCAGGCAGATTCCTGAATTTCAGATCCTACAACAAACTTAAGATAGAGATAAATCTGATGAAACAAATGAAAACAAGGGTCACTAGCATTTTTGACAGTACTTTCCATCTTTCAAACTTACGCAAACTCTCAACACTTTTCACGAATAATGGTTATCCAAAATACCTGACAAACAGAATCTTGTTCAGCTGTCTCGCTGCTATACCACGTTCACATAACAATGATAACATCAGTCCCAATAACAATGATAATCCTCCTAATGATACAGATATTCCATCAATTTCCAGAACTAGTTTTCCAATACTACCATACATTAAAGATCTAACATCAAAACTTTCTAGATTGTGCAACACTGAAAATTGTCGCATTGCTTAGAAATCCTCACTCACAGTCAACAATGTTTTCTTCAAAATGAAAGATAGAGTTCCTCTGGTTGGCCTATCCAACATTGTCTACTCCATCAATTACAATAACTGCAATCTCACATACACAGGTCAAACCTCAAGATCCCTTAAAGGTAGAATAATCTCACATAAAAGTGATGCCAGACTGCATCCAGAAAGATGTGCTTTAGCTTCACACGTGAATTCCACAGGACATCAAATGGGATACAATTATATCAAGGTGCTGGACAGAGAAAATCAAAACGCCTGTCTTTGGAAATGTGACATATCTTTATGACAGACAATTGCATGAATAAAAAAGTGGATGTCAATCAACTTAGCATCGTCTACGCATATTTGGTAAACTGCAAAAAATTGCAAAAGCAACACATCTCCCCCAACATCGATTTTTCACAATAGTCGCTCAATCTACACAAAATTATTTTTAACTATCTTAATAAAATCAAATTAAAATTGCTCAAGGTTTTTGTCCTCAAATGTGAATATTCCCTACGAATTTTTTAGCTGTTTGGTAGGATAGCATCCAAATCACATTGCTTCCAAAGCAACTTTTATCGGGTTTTGAAAATTTCTTCGTACTTCATCGGTCAACAATAGCGCAACCTCTTGCACGATATATTACAAAACGCCTTACTATTGCACAGGACGACATAATGGGTGACCTTCCAATAATTTTCAATGTCATACTTCATACGCCGCTGTACAAATGTCAGTCGGCCCGAATTTTCAATAGTTGAAAGTTTTAAAATCTCCAAATTTCATCCAAAATCAATCAACGCTTATTTAAAAAAAAAACCTCCAAAATGATTTGCCAATTCTGCGAGACTATGACGGAAACCATTGCACGGCATCTTACCGACATAACATATATCCAAACTACTTGGTTTAGTGATAAATGTACATTTTTTCTCAACGGTAATGTGCATAGACAAAATTGTCGTTATTAGAGTGACACCAATCCTCACGTCTTCCGGGAAACTCATACTCAATATCCACAAAAAATTAACGTTTGGGCTAGGATATTGGGAAATCAAATTGTGGGGCCTCTATTCGTCGAACAAACTTTAACCGGGGAACTGTGTTTGGATATTTTGGAAATCATCAAAGGGAATCCTAATGAACTCGATACTGATATTGTGTTCCAGCAAGACGGTGCTTCACCACACTACTACAGACAAGATAGGAATTATTTAGATAACAATTTCCCCGGTCGTTAGATTGGCCGTCGAGGTCCTGTGGAATGGCCAGCTCGGTCGGGAGATTTGACACCTTTAGACTTTCTTTATGAGGCTATTTGAAGCAAAAGGTGTACAAAACTGAACCTGCTTCAATATTGGATATACGGCTGAGAATAAATATTTGTAGAAATATCGATGTTACTATGTTTGAAATTGTTTGACGCGAAATTACAGACCGGCTGTTATTGTGTCAAGAAGTTCAAGGCAACCATTTCCAGCAACTTCTAAGCTGAACTCAACGTATTTATTCGAATTATCAAGTTAAATGTCAATGAATTCAGGTAATTAGTAAATGTACCACCATTTTGTAGTAGGTAAAGGTATTGACTTTATATTCTAGAGTTATAAGGTACTCGTCAGGGGCTTAAAAATGATGTGCCACAAAACCCCCGTTTTCATATAATTTTTTTTCCAAGGTGGCGCCCAGCGGCCATGTTGACAGTTTCATCTGTCAATTTTACTCTAAAATATGGTATCCGCTTATCAATTTTATTACCTCATGTTTTAATTTTTTGAATTGATCCGTACAAGAAATCAAAGGGGAGGGGCATACTAAATATATATATATTATTTTCCTACTTGTTGTTATATACCTTTCTCCGCATGATCATATTCTCTTTATTTATATATATATATATATATATACATATATACTTGCGAAAAACTACAAATAAGAAATAAGCGCGGCCATCTTTTGTATCCAAATCACTTAGTAATGAAACTACCTAAATATGTCATTGACTATTTAGCACTGCTTCATATGTTAGTGCTACACACGTGTTAATTAGCTCTTTCGCTGTTTAGGTCGTTTCATTCCTTAGTGATTTGGATACAAAAGATGGCTGCACTTCCTTTATATTTATAGTATTACGACTTCAATGACAAAGCTTGTATTTATTCAATTTTTTGTAGAAAGAACCTACAAATGTTATACTATTTTTAAAAGATCATTAAATAAGTTAGATTTTAAGATCATTTGCCGATTCAGTCTGGTACATTCTTTCAAAGTAATTAGTCAAACTTTAGTAGATGAAACAAACTGTACCAATTTTTTTTTTAGCATACCGTGCTAGTTTTCAATCAAATTAATACTCGGTTATCTCAAACAACTATCAACGATAGCCCAGGAAAAAACTCATCGGTTAGAAGTTGTTAATAGCCATAACAGGCAGGAAGGTGCAAAAAGTATTGATTTTTTGAAAAACCCTAGAAGTGGCAATATCTCGAAGACTAGAAAACTTTTACTAAGGTCATGTTGATTTTATCTGATTGATCTGAAGCCAATCTACCTCTCGTGTCACTCTAGCGTGTTATTTCTGGGTCACCCTGTATATATGGAAACCACACGAGTAGCGTAGAAATTGGGAATTTTTGACTAATACAAAAGAAGAAAGGAATTTACTTTTAACGCCATCGACATTTCTAAGGTATCTATAGCATTTTGTAATATGTTGTCAAAATTTTCATGAACCGCCTCTATTGAGGAATTTTTGTCAGATTGCTAGTACTGGAGAAAAATTAGTTTGAATGTTCTAGGTGGAACCTGTATAATTACTGCAACCCATTCTACTTATAGCGTATTTTAAAAACAATCTCATCTTACCACAAGATTATTCGAAAAATATTTATGTTTAATCCCTATTCGGCCTCATTAGTGACGTAGAAATTTACAACGGCCTATATTTTGGTAATGGGGCTTGATGACATATGCGTTTATATGAGCTCTTTTTTACTTTGGTTTTACTTTCTGCTTCTGAAATATTGCCTATTAATTCTCAAGGAGGTATTTTAGGTTCTTTAAACAAACTGTCAGATTTATCATTGCTGTGTGACAAATTGGTAACAACACTGAGCCGCACAACACTCGGCATAATGGTCGCACGCATTATTTACGTTACTGATTCCAGTAAACGCTCTGTGAAAAATAGAGAAAGTATATGCGGGTGTCAAACACTGAAATCCGTCATTCGCTGAAATGTTTAGTCATTCCCCGTACTGCCGGCAAATACCGTAACAGTTTGATTATTACATCGTTTGACTAAGCACTTCAGTTATTCCCTGTAATGACTGAACAATTCCGGCCAAACATCGTAACAACCACATTAACTTCGCTACTGCATTCGCCTATTTCAATCAAACGCTGTAATCAATACAGTGTTGCCCCTATGAAGTACATAATATAACAAGATGATACTTTATCAAAAATATTAAAAGAAAAATAATCAGTCATGAACTGATCTGAAAGGAAAGAAGAATAGATTAAAATGTTGTCTTTATTATTACATTATTTTGGACATTAGTCATTAATGTATTAAATCAACAAGAAATATCTTGAAGCTATCGAAATGAATATTAAACAATAAGTGCACATTAAAAAACAAACTGCAGAACTGCGAGTAATGACCAACGAATAAAGGTTACATAGAATTATCTTATATTTTATATTATTTTAAACATTATTTGTTAGCGCATGCTAGAAGTTTTTTAAGCAAATTCATCTATTTGATAAACACTGCTTTGTGTATACTCAAGCCAACGAACACAAAACTGGTACAATGAATGACTGAATCAGGCAAATGCAGTAACGAAGTTAACGTTTTTGTTACGGTGTTTGACTGAAATTGTTCAATCATTACAGGAAATGACTTGAATGCTTAGTCAAATGTTGTAATAATCAAACTACCACGGTGTTTCACGGAAATACGGGGGCTGACTAGGCATTCCAAGCAATGACGAATTTCAGAGTTTGACGCCGACATATCCATTCAGCTGATACAAAAAGGCCCAGCAGTGCAGCGGTTTTATACTGAATAGCAGTAGTTGTATAATAGCGGTGGAAATTCTGATTGACAGACTGTCAAAGCTGACAGGCAGGTAAGAAATGCTATGAGATTGCCACGGCAGTCCCATGACTATTACAATTCAGCGTAAAAGCGTTGCGACGCTGAATCGTTTACGTTAACCAAGTGCACTCAGTGATAATATGTTGGACTATTCCTAATAAACTTCTTGTAAAAAGAACTTCGCATAAAAAGAGCATTTTACATCTTCTTCGACCCGATGTGTCATCGTTAGCCATTAAAATATAAATATATAACAATTGTGCCGAAATGTGCTGACTGCCACCAAATCCAACGGTGCTAGTGCTCGGCTGTCAAAAGAGTCAGAGAAATACATACTTTTATTAAATATACCTGAGGGAAAGAACACCCTCCCCGTCTCCTTGAAGTCCACCACCACTGAATGCGACTTGGCGTAGTCATCCAACTTCTCATCCACATATTCCTCAACACTCTCACTTCCCCTGCCCTCAACTTTACTCCCATCATATTGCACCTCCACCGTGTCATTGCCATTAGCTAGTTTTTGGACTCTGATCCCTGGCACTATTGGAAACTCGTCCACACTAAGCACTTGGTCCACATAATTCTTAAGTTCGTTATCTACCACTACGTCATCATGAATGACGTCATCGGCATATGAGGACTGGTAGGTGATGGCCAAGATTCCTGTCAGTGCGATGAAGTATCGTGTGAAACTGGGACATCGCGGTGCCATAGTCCGATGTGCATGCCGTTACCCTGAAACAATAAAGGAAAACATTTTGTTTTTTCATTACAAACAGGACAAGTTACTGCAATTGATCGTTTTGCCCCACTAAAGAGAAGCTTTCACTTTCCTAGGTAAATAATAATAGCAACAATTCAAATAATAACATTGGAGATTATCCTTTGCTAACTTCGTTATATCATTCTTGAAAGACGAAAGACTAGTACGATGCGTGCTTCTATCGCTCGATATCAATAAAGCTTCAGCTTCTGATATGATTCCTGCTAATATACTAAAGAAGTGTGCAAGTAGTTTGTTCCAGTTCCTTCGCGGCTCTTTCAGATTCTTATGAATCCCATAGAAGGATCTAAAACCTACCCTTACACACTACAGACCTAAAGCTTAGCTTGCCGTTATCAGTAATGCGATGGAGGAGTGCATAAATCGGGTGTTTGTGGAACATATTTCTTGACTAGCATCAGGCAGCTTACCTCACGTAACTGTGGAGGAAGCTCATCCAGTCATATGGTGAGGCTCATGTCGTTGCTGATTCCAGGAAAGCTCTCGATCAGCTGTGGTATGCTGATCTTTCTGCTTATATTACACGTTAACAACCTACTCTCTCATACAATAAATTGAAATATACTGATACGAGCAGCGACTTCCTCTCTGACGAGAGATCAAGAGGTTAACTCTTCTTGGGGATACAACAAACTGCTACAGTTTATGCTTAAACTATAGTATACCTGTCTAAATAAACAATATTAGTTGTGTTTTATATCTTTCTAAAAATGTTACCGAGGCAACAATGTCTCGGTTTGTAACACATGTTTTTGATCATTCAACTTTTTAATGATAGAAATTACCAATTATGGATTACCTTATCGATGTTATGACCAATATTGTGAACAGATTTTAGTCGAACTGTTTTTAAGTGTATGAACTATTTTACAGTGGAAAACATGAGTGACTTTTATTTTACTAGTAATGGACTGTAAATTTTATAAAATGCGCTATATCCGTATCCATAATATCCATACCAGATTAATGTTTTTATAATTTGTACAATCCCACGCAGAAGCTTGCTTCTGTGGGTTTCCTGTTTGTTTACCATTCTAATCTGTGTACGCTTTTATATTCATTTTACAATATTATCGTTATATTTGGTAAATAAACTTTAGTTTACTTTACGCGGGAGCTTCGGTACAAAGAAAAATTGAAACATAACAAGTACTGAGTATTTCCTTGTTCGGGAAGGTATTGAAAAACAGCTTCTAATGCTAACAGAATGAGCCGCAGGCTAAATCTGTTTCGTTCTGAATTCGTTTGGGCTTGTCAGTTCAACATACCGCTGCTAGGCTGCTCCAAAGTCTTTTTTAATAAAAGTAAAACGCCATGGTCGTTAATTTGCATATACGAGGGCTGTTGAAGTGAAACCCATGTTTGATAAGGTTGTCATTGGAAACAATTTTCATCACGTAACTGACGTTTTGCAATGTTAGTTGTGTTTGTAACGTCACACTGATCAGTTCCTGTCATTTGTATTTGACTGCGATTTTAAGTATTGTTGTTATAGTCTAATCATATCATAAAATTTCCCCGAAATAATTGTAAAGTTTGGGTTTATTGGTGCAAGTTGTTCAAGGGGGTATTTAAAATATGGACTCATGAAATGGGTACACCAATTTTTGTTTGAAACTTTTTATTAGACAGCAAAGAATGAGAAAACGTGTTCTTTTGCGATTCAATCGAAAGTGTTGACAGGAACGAACAAGCGTTTCAAATAAAGTTTTCTAGGCATTTATGAGACCTACCTATGGCCGAAAAATGAGTAAAATGCAGATTTTGGCACCTGTTGGTGATGCGACAATAATTTCAGGCAACTACTTGAAATTCTTCAAATCCGTAGGATTCATACTTCTAAATATTAACAGGATTTCGAATTGTTTGTCGTAAAACACCTGTTTTCCGGCCATCACTACCAGTTTATTGAGCAATATACGGGGTTCGTTCAAAGAGCCTTTGATAGCAAAATACACGTGTTTACCTTGCCGTTATGTATCACAGCCCATTTCGAAATATATATGTTATTTTTATGCGAAAAACAAAGGTCACGTTTTTTCTTCTAAATAAATTCAAACATCCGTATTTGTGAGTAGTTGAACAAGTGCCCTACGATATTCGAAAAACATACATTACTATTCACATTTTAAAACAAAGCGGAAGTGTCCATGATCTTTTGTTGCGAATTAATCACAAATACGTAATGTTTGAATTTGTTTACAACAAAAAACTCATTATTTTTTGCATAAAAATAACATTTATCTTCCGGAATGGTTTGCGATTTAGATCGGCAAGGTAAACTAGTGTATTTGCTATAAAGCCCCTGTATATTGCTCAATCAACTAGTAGTGATGGCCGGAAAACAGGTGCTTGGAGATTCAAAATTAGAAATTCTCAAAAACTACTTGACCAATCTACTCCAATTTTGTTGTGGTTATTTACAAGTATGAATTGTAAGAATTTGAAGAATTTCAAGTATCTGCGAGAAATTATCATCGCGTTACCAACAAGTTCCAAAACCTGCAGTTTGCCTCGGTTTTCGAGCATAACTTTTTTGCTATTATTTGGATCTTTTTACGTGTAGTCTCATTTTGTAGGTGTCATAAATACCAAAAAATCTTATATGAAGAGTTTTGCCATTTTTGCCGACACTTTCGATTGAATGTCAAAAAACGCGTTGTCGAATAAGAAGTTTTCCCACAAAAAACGGTGTACCCATTTTATGCGTCCAAGTTTCAAATACCCCCTTGAACAATTTGCAGAAAAAAACCAGGCTCTACGTTTATTTCGCAAACCAGGGGTATTTTCGTCTAATATTATTAGACTATTAACAATCTGTCCAAATATAATCAGCGTGTAGTCATTTAAATTCTGTGTGCTGAAGGTTTGCAACCATTGCAAATTTATACGCCAATGCAAGCAGTGTATGTAAAAGTATGTTTTGAGTATGCATCTGTCAAGGAGTGCTGTCGAAAATTTAGGAGTGGAAGAGAAAAGACGAATGATAAGCCGCGAGCAGGTGCATTGTGTACTGCATGAACAGACAGGAATGTGGCATGTGTGGAAGGCATGCTTAGAGAGTATCGTCGAATTTCAATCAGAGCGACTTAAGAAAATGCTGTTCTGTGCCCGTTTACACTATGTGCTATGTGCTGTTAGGGTAAAGGACCTGTACTGTTACAGATAGGCGGGAACTTCCGAACTAGCTGTCAAAGGCACTGGGAGTCTCACAATTTTCGGGATGTTGAGATAAAAGTTTTGTTGTTGAAACCAAACTTAAATATCTACTACTACGTACCACGCGCAGAAAGTGACGAAAGAACGTTTTCGGTGCCTGATATTGTCTTCCTTATTTATGCTTTAAACGGATCACGTTAGCAAGCTGAAGTTCGGAAGGACGAATTTGGAGCATAAGTACATGTACAAATTTGGCTAACACCGTAACGAGGACGATAGAGAGGCGCGATAGGCGTGTGATATATATGTTAGAAAGTGTGCACCGATGGCTTTCATGACCTCGTACTAGGGTTCCTAGGCAACGAGGTAGTTCTATCTCTTTCTAACGCGCGTACAGCACGCTTCTAGCCTTCTCCCTCGTACACATTACGACATCAGTGGTATTTGGTCTTCGGTATATAACTTACTAATTCAGAAAAAAAAGTACACTATTTTTAAATATAAGAGTATTTGTCCTTTGACTCTCTTATTCAACAACTAATCCTCAAGAGACTATGTTATATCAATCTTTTTGGGAAGGGTGTATTCTCACGGGCAATGAGATAAGGGACGTTAAGTTTCGAAAAATAAATGGCATCAAATAGGTTGACACTGCACTTCCCACGCAACGCTGTCATCAGTTCATAAAGGATTATGCTCAGCTCACTCCATCGACATAAAACAGCGTAATGAATCTTATATCCTGAATAGAGGATAGCTGCGATGATTCCGTTCATTGTCCAAGAGACCCAGCTTAGATCATGCTGATGAGTGGCTCAAAAATTAGGAAACAGCAGACGTTGGATAGCTGTCTTTAGACGCTCGGACGAAAGCAGCATGTTTAAGTTGGACCATGGGCAAAATCAGTCTGTTACGAACATGAATAACGAGAAATTAAGCAGATCAAGTACGTCAAACACGTCCATACAATTATTCCCTAGATCGCCATTACCTGCCCTACACATAGTACCTTTCATCTGGCAACGTCGCCTTTCCCCATTACCTGATCATACAACACTAGTGAAGACCGGCACGTCGACCGGCGGAGCCAGAGAGCAGTTAAAGGGACGCGTTTCGAAAAAATGTCTATGTCATTTTAAGTTCTGAGGGGTTGAAAACTAACACCAAAAAATTGCAACCCTCCATTTTCCCCCTAAAATCTTTATCAAAATGATCAGGAGCCTCTAAAATGTCAAAAAACAAAGCTGGTGTTCGTAAAGCACACCAATATTCGGGAGTAGGTTACTAAAATCCCTTACGGAATTAAAGATCGATTCTGGTCAAAACTGATTCCGCACACTTTTTAAATTCAATAACGACTCCAGAATGATCACACCACGAAGGGTAGAAATGTGCTTCTATGGATAAAAGCGAACGAAGTATGAAACGTATTATTATCTTTTTGTATTCCCTGTTTTATGGACCCTTCACAGCTATTTTCATTGTCTTGGAGAATACTAAAGATCACGGTTAAGCTAAATATTTAGAGGGAATTCCTATATACCATCGCACCCATAAAAAAGTTATATATCTGGAAACTCAGTGGACGAATGATGATGGTACTGTCATGTGTGCCCCTTCATATTTGAAGGTGACGTGTATCAAAACAGTAAATAAGGGACCGTGTAACACACTAATATTTCAGTAAAGCTACATGAAAATAGCGTATGATAATCTCTGTAAAAATATCATACGCTATTTTTTAATATATGGTATTGAACAGTGCAAAATCTTCATTATCTACCTCAGAAGGCTGG